TGTGGTTTTGAGAACTTAGTAGGCCATGGTTCCATCTATGTATTATGCTGAAATCAAGAACCAGGACACATTTTGACTTGGGTCCTGACTCACCTCTTGCAGATAGCACCTGGTGTTTGTTCGCACCAAATTTGTCAAGCTTCTAATTAAGCAATTTGGGAAGTAGCCTTATTGTTTGTTTTGAAAAGCCAGGTGTCTGCACCCGGTGACAAAAAATGAGGTGACAAAAAATTTAAAAACTCTCTACACATGTGGATGGAGGGTGGCCTCCATGGCAGTTACCTGGCTGCTTTTAAAAATACAGATTCCGTGTCCAAACCCCAGACCTCCTTCATCCGAATCTATGCAGCGAGTCCTGGGAACGTGCCTATTTTGAAAAATTGCATAGGTAATTTTTATGCAGTCTGATGCTTGGAAACTTCTGCTTTAGAGATGTTTGTAGATGGAGAGATCATTTCCTGGGCTTTTTACACATAGTTCTTTAAGATTCGATTTTTGTTCCTAACTCTCCTTGGATAACAAAGAGTAAAGTGGCGCCTGGGTGGTTCAGTCAAGCATCTGCCTTCAGCTCAGGTCATGATCCCAGGGTCCTGGGATCGAGCCCCGCAACGGGCTCCCTGCTCGGCCGGAAGCCTGCTTCTCCCTCTCCCCCCCCCCCCCTGCTTGTGTTCCCTCTCTCACTGTCTCTCTCTCTGTCAAATAAATAAATAAAATCTTAAAAAATAAAAATAAAAATGCTTCTTTTGCAGAATACAACTGCTATTGAATTGTGAATTCCAAAGAATTTCTTTTAATGACAGCATTTTTGTTTTGATGAGGTTTATATCATCAGTACGTTGTCTGCTTGCATCTGAATCCAGTGATTTCTACCACTACTGAGGCAATAGCAAGTATGAAAGTGAGAACTCTAACCTCGCATTACCCGTTTGGGGCAAAACCATACAGTCTCGGGCAAACTGCTTAATTCTCTATGCCTCAGTTTCTCTCTTATGTAAAACGGGCGTAGTAGTAAAACTTGACCTTAGAAGTTCATGTGGGAAGTAAATAAAATTATCCATCTTAAGCTCTGATAAGTGTGCAGTGTTAATCATATTATTGGTGTCATTGAAAACAATGTTAAGTTGGAAGACAAGTAGCCAAGAACTTGTTCCTTCATTGCTGTGGAGATGTCCAGCCTCCCTTCTCCTGGTAGGCTTCCTGTCCTGTATATTTCTAGATCTGCTCAGAATTCAAAACGTTTAAAAACTGGTCAAATCTTGAAGATTTAAAAGCTGCAGATTTGGTTTTTAATTCCTGAAGAAAATCTTTTTAAGGGACTTATTGAGTACCAGCAGCAAGTACGCAGTTCATAAGGAATTTGCTATGGGAGTATTCACCAAGTCCACCTACATTATAAGAAGCCCCACATTCAAGAATTAAAAGCCAAATTTAAAATACTTCTTTGAAAGAATTGAATGTTCTTTTTCTCCCATGATATATTTACCAAAAGAAGCCAATTTAGATGGAGCATCGGGTTTTGAGCACATCCTTGCTTTACACCTATGTTCCCGCTGAATGTTCTGCAGTGCTGAGAGGTCAGGTGACCTCTTGCCCCGGGTCACACACAATGAGTCAGTGATTCAGGCCTGACTGAATCAAGGATTTTTATGCCCGGGCTTCTGGCAAGTTTCTTTGGTAGGAGTGTCCATAAATAAATGGTTAACTGAGATAAATATTTACACTTCTGTTTTTAGAGCAAAGAAAAGGGATACATTTGCTATTTTTTTGCATCTTTATTAAATTTAAATTTCTAAATAAAATTAAAAAACATATTTCTAAATATAATAACTCAAACATGGCTCCCCAGCTGCCTTCTAAATAACTAAATTTATGCTGTTTGACTATACTGAGTTGGAAGTATAGCAGAAGAGTTTCTCTCTTGGAAATTCTGGCCAATTTGGTCTACTCTCTGTCCTCACTCTTCAGTTTGAGTTATTGTGTCCATTGTTGCCAAGTATTCATTCCCCAAAAGTTTATTGATTATCTACTATGGGCTATTCTACAGTCTTGCCACTAGCCTTTGCAGGACCCAACACAAGGGTACTAAGGAAGGCTTACACACCATACGTCTAAATGCCTAATATTTATAAATCAAACTGACTTCTTTTTTCCCACTCCTGGCTGCATTCTATAACGTGACGTGTAACCAAACCAACGTGAGTTCACTACTTGGTGAGTCAAAAACTGCACCGGGTTGAGTTGTACAAAGAAAACTTTTGTTCGCAGTAAATAAGGAGATCACAGAATGGTTTCCAAAGCCATGGCTCCCCAAGAGAGGATGAATGGGTTCCTTTTGTTGAGGGTTCCGGTGAATATTTAGATAGGGAAGCCCTGCCATAGCAGGTAGAGGCCGGCATAAGAGGGCTCATGCACCTTAAGAAAACGTGCCTACACTTACGTTGTATATTATGTAAATGAGGCTGAGGCTCCTCCTTGGGTGGAGATTTTAGTATTATAATGAAGTAAAGGTAACGGTGGGTCATTCCAGAGGTCACTCCATGGCGCTAGTCTGGGGGGTCTGGTGGGGCTCGAGGTCTTGTCAGGGTAGTCACCATCACCTGAGGGGTGGCTTGGGGTTTCATTTGGCTGAGTTAAGAGGTAAGCTGGCAGGAAGAGCTTAAGGAAAAATGTGGGACAAACATTAGTAAGTGTAAGCAGGTGGGCAGTAAATGTCAGGTCTTGGGGTCTAGCTGGTGACGATGGGCCTTGAACACATGCACTGAATACCAGCTTACACATCCAAGTGCATCCACAGTTCCGGACATCAGGCACCACTGCACCATTCTTTGGACCTCTGCCCTCCAAACTAGGGTAGAAGCTTCTGCTAGCCCTGGAAGTAGGCTCAGAAATAAGGCCTTTCCTGCTTGAGTCTAAGGGCGGTATGGCCAGGAGCCAGACCAGGGCAGCCATACAAGACTAAAATTTTCCACTGTGCAATCTGAGTATATCGTTTTTCTAAAATATCACCACTTTTCATTGTCAACTCAGCAAAGGCCCAAATTCTTAGTCTGATCTGGCCTTAAACTTTCCAACCTGATAGCACACTTTTCCATTTATAGAGTTAAAAAGAAAACCACAGGTCCAAAATGGTGTCACTTAGGCCAAGTCACCAAACCTGGGCTTAATACCTAACTAACCTCAATGCAGTTTCAACTTCCCCCAGAAATGTAAATCTTAACGAGTCAGTCAGGAATTTTCTGATCAACACCAATGAGGTAACCTATCACATGGGGCCTCTCCATCCCCCCCGCCAAAGATGAGGTAACCCACCTAATAAGAACCCCTGCCCTTCTCCCTAAGGGAATGTGACCTTGCCTGGAACAATACTTTCTTTTGCTAATAACTTCTCACCCAACCTCTTTCCTATAAAAACCTATTTTGTACACCTCCTCAGAACCCCCCCTCTGCTTGCTAGATGGGATGTTGCCCCATTCATGAATCACTTAGTAAAACCAATTAGATCTTTAAATTTACTCTTTGACTTTTTGTTCTTTAACACCAGTGTACTCGTGGTAAACAAGGTAGAGCCTGTTTCCATCTCAGTAACTTACACTCTATTTGTCCTTTCGGCCTAAAATATTTTTTCTGTCTCTGCCTGGCTTGATATTCTTTAGGGAACTCCACGCTATTCTATCAGACTTATCCCTTACTAAGTCTCTAGTTATGTGCTTAAACTAGTTTGGTTGTGATGTCTTGAAGACTAGTCCTGTACCATTCACTTTCTTTCAGTTCTTTGAAAAGAGCTTTTTTTATTTTTGTAGAAAGTATGCTTATTTGTTGTAAATGAATCACACCACAATAGAGGGCATAAAGAGAATAAAAACTCAGAAATGTTGCCAATTTTTTCATGTAGACTCACGGGTTGATGTATAGAAGTTACACAAAGAGGAACATTGATCTTTTGTACCTTTTTTTCTATTGATATAGAGATCTACATAGTCTTTTTAAATGACTATTATTCTACACTAGCATTACTTTAGAATTGATTTAACCAATCTCTCTTTCTTCACTGTTTATTTTATTCTCTGTTATCTATTATAAAAAAATATTGTAAGACATGTTCTTCACTTTAAACAGTTCCAGTCATGTACAATTATCCCCTTGGGATAAATTCTTTAAACTGAGTTTCTATCCTTTTTTTTTTTTTTTTAAGATTTTATTTATTTATTTGACAGAGAGAGAGACAATGAGAAAGGGAACACAAGCAGGGGGAGTGGGAGAGGGAGAAGCAGGCTCCCCACGGAACAGGGAGTCCAATGTGGGGCTCGATCCCAGGACCCTGGGATCACGAACTTAGCCGAAGGCAGACGCTTCATGACTGAGCCACCCAGGCGCCCTGAGTTTCTATCCTATCAAAGCAATTGTGCCATTCACTTTTGTATCTCTTGGAGCGCCCGATGTGAAACCTTAAAAATAATAGATATTAAATAAATGTTGGCTACATAAATAAATTCACCAGCAAATTAGCAATTGATTACTTAATATCTATTTATATAACTGAGCTAATGCAGTACTGTAATCGGAAGTTCTGGGAGGAGCCCATCTGGATTTATGCTACTTGTTTACCTGAATAAAAACCCCATGAAAGAAAAGAAAAAAGGAAATAATAAGGCTTAAAATCAAAAGACTGAGGTACCTTTGCAGTGACACACTTCATTACCTGCAGTTTGGGGGGGGGGGTTAGATTTATTTTATTTATTTGAGAGAGAGGGAGAGAGAGCACATAGGCTGGGGGGGAGAATGTGGGGAGGGGCAGAAGGAGAGAGAAGCAGACTCCCCGCTGAGCGGGGAACCTAGGGGGGGCTCTGTCTCACAAACCTGAGATCATGACCTGAGCTGAAACCAAGAGTCAGACGCTCAACTGACTGAGCCACCCAGGTGCCCCCATTACCTGTGTTGATTTGATATTCTTACCAAAGCTATGAAAAGATAAAGCTGATCTCATTGCCTCTATTTTGCAGATGAAGAACTTGGATAGAAGAAACGATTTGCCCAAGGTTACCTGACTTACAGAAGGAGCCCCACACTTTGTTTTCCCTCCAGTCTAGTGTTTTCTCAAATACACCACTTTGCTTTTTAACTAAATAATGGCTTTCCACCACTACATCCTAATGAAGAATTCTGCCACAGGTATTGGCTTCTTAGAATCACTGTTTGTGCAGGCGGTCTCTCCTTTTGCCAGTGGGAAAACACAAATGGGAGAAGAACAACCTTCTGTTTCTTCAATGGCCTCTAACAAACCAGCGACACCTGAGGGTGATTCATTTTTTCATTTGGTGAAGATTGCAAGTTTGTTGAAAATCTTGTCACTTGTTTCGATGAGGAAGCAATGTGTGCTGCCTAAGTAGGCAATAGTTTTTAAGTAAAAACGTGTTAATTCATTTTAGGCAGGGCCAGATTCTGCCCTATTCTTTGACTAATCCCTAGTATCTAGCATACTGCCCGCTATGTGTTAGATCGTAAACGTATACATATTTATATACAAGGAGGGAAGGAGCTAAGAAGAAAAGGAGTCTAGTGCTGATATCTTCTACAAAATATTATTCTTTAACAATAACTGTCATTGGCTTATTTTTATTTTGATAGATGAATTTTTAATCATCCCAAACACCCACAATAACTGACCCAAGTAAGATTAGATCAATCTTCAAAGGTTCTTTGTTCTTTTATCTCTCTCCAAATACTCCTTTTATATTTTGAAATATGGGCTCTAATCTAAAAGGCTAAGAGTTTTTATTTGGGGGGGAAATGGTGTCATTAGGATCAGTAGGGGAAAATGATTGTGGTTTAAAAATAATTGTTTAAACAAATTGGCGTAAATCGTGCTTCTTCTTTCACAAGTACTCCTATTCTTTGTAGAGACTAACATAAAAATGTTTTCTTTTGCTATAAAAATAATATCAAGTTGAAATAAATATAATTATATATAATGTATAAGACAAATTTATATAACAATATAAACATACAAAGAAATACATACAGATATATATAAATTCTTTCTCCCCACCCGCACATGTATCCACATTCTTTAAATAAATTGACCATAGAGGGAGAATTTACTAGGCAGTCCTGATTTCAAATACTCTAAAGCTTTATTCACTTAATATATATCATACCATTCATATAAGTCTTGAGTCTAGGAGAAAAGTGGCGTCAATGCCTACAGCTAATAGAAATAATGGGATCCTACAGGATAATAAGGAAACTTATTTGCATATATCAGTCAGCTGAGACTAAGTTATACTACAGTACAAAAAATGACCCCAAATCACAGTGACTTATGAAAGCAAAGGTTTCTTTCTCACTGTATTTGTGTGATTGACTGAGGCTCTGCTTCATGGCTTTTATTTTGGTGTCTAGGCTGAGAGAACAGCTCCTGCCTGGGACATTCAAAGGAAAAAGAGAAGGTGGTAGAGGAGGCTGGAACCGGGGAATCTTGTGCTCAGAAGTGCTTCTGCTCATAGTTCATTGGTCTAAACAAGTCACATGGTCAAAACTGACATCAAACGGGTGGAAAGTCTAATTCTTCCACAGGGAGGAGCCCTCCCAAGGGATAGGACCTCTAGGGAGAGGAATGGCAACTATACTGCATTTATTATGTTGTGCAGTGATACCCTCTGGTACGTCCTCCCAGCTAGAGTTTAGGAAGTCATCTTTTTGTCTGCCACTTGCCTCTTTCAATGAACACTCAAGTTGTTTTAATTTCATACACTTCTCAAATCTAATCTCCCCTCTGTAACTTGCCTACCATTCCATTGTTCAGGTCCTCAGTATTTATACAGGTCTTCCGATCGTAGATTAATTCTATATATAGCCACCACTGTGAAGTATGCAGAATGCACAGATCTAAAATGTCATTTTTCTCTCCCAGCCTCTCTCTCTGGCAAATAAATAAATAAAATCTTAAAAAAAAAAAAGGGGGGGGGAGGCGCCTGGGTGGCTCAGATGGTTAAGCATCTGCCTTCGGCTCAGGTCATGATCTCAGGGTCCTGGGATCCAGTCCCACATCCGGCTCCTTGCTTAGCAAGGAGCCTGCTTCTCCCTCTGCCTGCCACTCCCCCTGCTTGTACTCTCCCCCCCTCTCTCTCTGGCAAATAAATAAATAAAATCTTTAAAAATAAATAAATTAATTAATTAATTAATTAATTAATTAATTAATTAAATAAAGTGTCATTTTTCTGGGGCTGGCTCAGTTGGTAGAGTTTGTGGCTCTTGATCGTGGAGTCATGAGTTCAAGCCTCATAGTGGACATAGAGCTTACTTTAAAAAATCAACTGGAATTAGTAAAAGCTTTTAAAAAAAAATCAATGTTATAAAAATAGGTCGTTTATTTTCACAAATACAATTGTATGGTAAATAGAACATATGATACCAGAGGTAAAAATAAGTCCAACTGTATTTTTAGAAGTCCAATTATAATAGCAATATAGTAGACCTAAATGTATTAAGTTTACTTGGATAAAAAGCCAGATTTCCATTTTGCCTATCACACACAAACACACACACACACAGACACAAACGCACACAGAACTCTACCACTTTTTTCCCGAAACAGACACATTTTCAACAACACCAAAAAAAGCCAAGCCAAAAAGAGGGAAAGAAAGAAAGAAAGAAAAGAAAGAAAGAAAGAAAGAAAGAAAGAAAGAAAGAAAGAAAGAACTAATAGAAATTTGGAAATGGTGGATAATACACACCAAATGAAAGCCACAATAGCAATTTAATATCAGTTGCTACTTTATTCTATTTAGTAGTAAAATTGTAGGTACTTCTGTTTCCTATATTTTTTATTTATTGTGGCAATTAAAAATATCCTTTTTTGTCTCTTAGTCATATAAATTTGTAAATCAGTAGTAGTAGTAAAATAAATGTGGGATTTTAAGAACATATAAGTGAATCTAAGTTAGTATGTAAGAATTTTAAAAAAATTTCTCTCATACTTATTTAGATATTTCTTCTTTTCTAAAGCAGGCATGTAGAACTATAAATTTCCCTCTCAACACTGTTTTAACTACTCCCCACATGCTTTGATGTGCTGTATTTTTATTTTCATTCCATTCGGTATATTTTCTTATTTACCTTGAAAGTTCCTCTTTGACCCATGGATTATTTAAAAGTATGTGGTTTAGTTTCCACATGTTTGGTGGTTTTCTTTCCTTTCTGTTATCAATTTCTAGTTTGATTCCACTGTGGCAGAAAACACACTTTGTATGATTTCATTTCTTTTAAATGTTTTGAAACTTGTTTTATGGCCCATGATACGATCCATCTAGCAGTATTTTTTGTGGACACTTGAATATATTCCACTCTTGATGAATGGAGTGTGAATAGTGTTGGTTGATGGTGTTGTTGAGTTGTATTGTTTTTCTGATTTTCTGTCTGGTTCTCCCAATTGTTGGGAGAGCAATATTGGAAGTTTCTAACTGTGTGAATTTGTCTGTTTCTCCTTTCAATTCTATTATTTTTTCCTTCACAGATTTAGAAGCTTTGTTGTTTGATGCAAACACATTTAGGATTAATTTTTCTTGTAGATTGATCTTTTTATCATTATGTAATATACCTCTTTTTAAAAAAATCTATTTTTATTTAAATTCAATTAACATATAATGTATTATTGGTTTCAGAGGTAGAGGTCAGTGATTCATCAGTCTTATTTAATACCAAGTACTCATTACATCATGTGCCCTCCTTAATGTCCATCACCCAGTTAACCCATCCCCCCACCCTTCTCCCCTCCAGCAACCCTCAGTTTGTTTCCTATGCTTAAGAGTCTCTTATGGTTTGTCTCCCTCTGATTTCATCTTGTTTTATTTTTTCCTCTCTTCCCCTATGATCCTATCATTATATAATATACCTCTTACTACATGGTAATTTTTATTGCTTTGAAATCTACTTTAGTTGATATTAATACAGCTATTTCTGCTTTCTTTCAATTTTTTTTTTAAGATTATTTTTAAGTAATCTCTACCCAGTGCGGGGCTCATACACAACACCAAGATCCAGAATTGCATGCTCCATCAACTGAGCCAGCCAGGTGCCCCTACTTTCTTTTACTGTTTATAAGATTTATCTTTTTCCATTCATTTACTTTTAACCTACTTGTATCATTATATTGGAAGTAAGTTTCTTATAGAGTGCATATACTTGCACCATGTGTGTTTTTTTTTTTAACCTACTCTGCTTATTTGTATCTTATAATTGGTGTACCTTACATTTACATTTAATGTTATTGATATGTTGGGGCTTAAAGTCCACCATTTGAATTTTTCTTTTCTTCTCTCTGTTTTTCACTTCTGTCTTTTTTCCTTTCCTTCCTATGGATTGCTTAAACATTTTTTTTAAATTCCATTTTGATTCATTTATAGTTCCTTCAGTTTATATCTTTTTTTAAAGATTTTATTTATTTATTTGACGCAGAACAGCAGCAGAGGGAGAGGGAGAAGCAGGCTCCCCGCTGAGCAAGGGGCCCATGTGGGACTCAATCCCAAGACCCTGGGATCCTGACCTGAGCCAAAGGCAGACACTTAGCCAACCGAGCCACCCAGGCACCCAGGTCCATATCTTTATATAACTTTTTTAATGGTTGCTGTAGATACTACATTATATATATATAATTTATCACAGAATACTGGTGTTGAAATTTTATCAGCTTGAGTGAAATGTAAAAACCTTACCTCCCCTTTGTGTCCCTTTAACTTCCACCTTTTATAATTGTCATAAAGACTTCCTCTTCACAAATATTGGATCTTTTGTGACAGTCCCACAGGTTGCTACGGCTCTGTTCTTTTTATTTTTTCTGTCTATATTCTTTCTGTTTTCCAGAAACAGACTTTTCAAGGTCTTCTTTTGTTTATCTTATATATAATTTCCAAGGTTTTTAGTTGTACTTCATAGGAGAAATAAAGAAAAGTTTATCTACTCTGTCTTCTTAGAAGTAGAAGCTTACCCTATTTTTGGCCGTTATTATTGTGATTACTTTAATAAACGATACATAAATTAATAGAACATTGTGTGTGTCGGGGGGAATAAATGGATCTATAAAAACTAACGTTGTTTGAAATAATGGCTATCAAATTAGGTATGGATGAGAAACTATTAAATATATTGACGGTTTCTGCATTGAGATGATGTTCTAAGTGTTTCTAGAGTTCTCACTCCGCCCTATGGAAACCAAAACTGAAATTATAGAAGTTGAATTACTGATATGGCTCATAAAAGGTAGATGGCATAGATGAGTTGACTTATGCTTCTTCTCTTCTCCAAAATGCCATAACTATACACTAAAAGACTGACAAATCAAAGTGCATTTACATGCAAAGTTAAACTAAAATATAATATTTAATTTTTTAATACTCTAACTTTTTAAATCTTGATTGGGAAGGACAAGTGAGATAAGAATTCTTTATATGTGCTCAAATTTGATTTCCCACCTTTAAATGTATCCCTTTCAACTAGCTGGACTGAAAAAGTTAAGTTGTCCCTTAGAAAATTTTAGATTTTTCCTACAAAATTTAGATTTTTTCCTTCCTACTGGACTGCACTGTATTTATTGCTTTTCTTACAAGACCTAGATCATTATTGACTGAACTGTAAATGGCTTTGACAGGTAACTGAGAAAAATCCACCCAAAGAGCAATTTTAACTTAATATGAATGTATTTGTAACTTACCTTTTAAAATATTCCTTTTATGAGATCTGATCCTCATGTTGCACAGGGGTGCACGTATGCATGCACGCACACACACGAACATGTATCATAAAACAAAGCTGGCTATATCCTTGCACCTGCAACTTCTGGGTGGTAATAACTTGAATTACATTGAAACCCATGTGATGTAGATATTAATTTCTCTACTCTCTTTGGACAGTGGAACAGATGCTGTTTTAAACTTCAAAGGACCTTGACTACTTTCTGCATTTCATTAATGAACAACAACTTTTCACAGCTTGGCTAAAAAAAAAAAAAAAAATCTAACAAAACATACAAAGGAAAAAGACCAATGAGGAATCCATCAGTCTTTTCCTTCTGAAATGTTTTTTAGGGATAGAGAGGAAGTCAAACTCAAAACATTTGATCTTTCCCAGGAAACTGGACTGGACTGTATTTATTGCTTTTCAAATCTGACAGTTCATCCTGTGGCCTCACATCATGGTAAGGGGCCCAAATGTATGAGGAGAAGATGGGTTTGGGGAGATAATTTGTTAAAGAGTTGGATAAAAAGGAAAACCCAATTGGTGATAAATGTTCCTTTTTTTTTTTCCCCCTGTACTATCTTATCTAATTCTGGCTGTTGAGGTTAGCTCAGGTAATGCTTACAGTTTGAAGAGAATAGACAAAGAAAAGAATAAAAACTCAATAGTTTTGAGTATTCTGATAGAGTCCGTAGGTTCTGAAGAGTAGAAAGTAGGTTGATTACTGTTCTAACCAAAAAAATTAAGAAAATTAGAAATTCTAAATTTCTATAACATTGATATATTACAGGGGATTTATTTTTTTATATCAAGAGATTACTTATTTGTTAGTTTTGTACCCACAGTTACAAATTTCTTCAAGAGAAGCAGATGAAGGTTTGGGTTCTAAGTTTACCAGACACAGATTGGAATACCAGCTCCACCATTTAATAGCTGTGTCATCTTGAGCAAGGAACTTGACATTACCAACCTTTTGTTTTTGTAAAACTGTTGTGGTGATAATGGCCCATAATCTCTTAATCAAAACTCGGGATCAGCTGTGTTTGGGAATTTAGAAGTAAAATACATAGTTTTTATGTATAAACTTAAAAAAATATTTATTTATTTATTTGACAGAGAGAGAGAGCACAAGCAGGGGGAGGGGCAGAGGGAGAGGGAGAAGCAGTCTCCCTGCTGAGCAGAGAACCCCTACAGGGGGCTTGATCCCAGGACCCCGAGATCATGACCTGAGCTGAAGGCAGACACTTAACTGCCTGAGCCACCCAGGTGCCCCTTTATGTAGAAACTTTCATTGAGAAGGTGGTTCAATATAATCTGGATATTCATTAGACTCCTAGTTAAGCATTTTTCATATACCATGAGTAATACAAAAATGGATAAAACTATCCTCTCTGTCTAGCGGCTTACAGTTCTGTATAACAAATGCAGATGACTAGAATGCATTATTAAGTTTCCTTATAGAGTTTATGGAAGCTCAGAGGGAGAAAATGAATTCTGATGGAATGGGGTGACTCAAGAAAAATTATAAAAAGAGGTTGTATTTGGACTTATTCTTCAATTTAATTAACTTTTCATTAATTATTTTTACTACTCTAGTTCATTTTGTGTATGTGTGTGTGGTTTCCTTCTCTTTTGTGAAAACTGCTACACTACTCACTCACATCACTACAGATTCAAATCCTGTGTAAATAGCACTCAAGTACTTTTATCAGCTAGGTCCAGCTTCAGTCTAAAACCCCAAACACCATGGTCAGTTGTTACAGGTGTTCCTTAATTAACTTCCTAGTAATGAAACATGTTTTTCTTTTTGTAATGGCCTTCCAAACATAGCTTTATTAAAGTATTTTATTTTTATTTTTTTATTAATACGATTTATATATTACATACATTGATCTGTTTTATGTGCCCAATGCAATGATTTTTTTTCAGATTTTATTTTTAAGTAATCTCTACACCCAATGTGGTGCTCGAACTTAAAACCCCAAGATCAGTAGTCGCATGCTCCACTGGCTGAGCCAGCCAGGCATACCCAATTCAATGATTTTTTAAGGAAATTGATGGAATTGTACAACTGTCCTCACAATCCAGTTATAAAACATTTCCATCATCCTAAAAAGATACAATTTAGAAGTTTTGGGGTACGCCTGGGGGGCTCAGTCCATTAAGAGACTGCCTTCGGCTTGGGTCATGATCCCAGGGTCCTGGGATCGAGCCCCGTGTTGGGCTCCCTGCTAAGCAGGGAGCCTGCTTCTCCCTCTCCCTCTGCCTGCCACTCCCTCTACTTGTGCTCTCTCTCTCTATCTCTGTCAAATAAATTTAAAAAAGAAGAAGTTTAGAATAATAAAAGGCAATGCAGTGCAAACACTATATATTATCTAACAACCTAATAATGTATGTTAACATTCTCAGGGGATTTGAGACAGCACTCCATTAAAAAAAATATTAAATATAGTGAATCATACTCATGTTCACACTAAATGGAATAAAGCCTAT